CCTCTCTCTCTCTCTTCTTTTTCACAGACCCCTCGCTCCTTTCCCTTTCTTTTCTCCACTCGCGTTTTACTTATTTCTCTCTCTCTCTCTCCCTCCCTCCAACTTTTTTCCCCATCCCAATGTCGAGAAACCGACCACTTCTCTGCCCCTCTTTCTCTATCTCTCCTTCTTCTTCATCGTGGGAGAGAGAGAGAGATAGCCTAACCTCTCCTTTCTTTTCCAGAAGAGAGCCTCTCTCTCTCTCCTTTTTACCACCTGGCAGAAACAGCAGCTGGTAGCGCGGAACTCCCTCGAAGGGGGGAGGAGAAGGATAAAGGAGCCTCCACCCCTTTGGAGAAGAAACCACCTACCATCTCTACTGTAAACAGAGTAACTAACCGACGTGCGTGCCACTCTTTTCTAATCGCTGGGAAAAACGTTAGGCACGCTCCAACGGCTCTCGCTTCGAATATACGCCTCTTCCTCGAGTAAGCTGATCGAAACTCTTGGATCGAATGGGTGGTATGCGTGATTCGTTTGGAAAATTGGTAAGAAGGGAGAATTGAGAAAATTAAATTTTCCCCGCGTCCAAGTGTCGGAGATTCGTTCCTCGTAAATTTGTTCGCAGCAAGGTTCGAACGCAGGTGTCGCCGTGTACAGGTCTGTCCGGTTCTCGCGTGTCTTCGCAATCATGCTCACCGACTCTCGTTATCACCTCTCTCTCTCTCTCTCACTCTTGCGATCTCTGTGCACGATGAGAGAAAGATGATTAGGCGAGATCGATTGTCACGTTTTGCAAATGAAAATTACATACATACGAGGGAGGGTGTAAAATAAATTCCGTTAATTTTCCATTTTCTATGTTGTCCACATATTCAGTGGACAACATTTTCTTTTTTGTTCTTTCGGATATTCATGGGAAAAAATCAGGAATGGAAATTGAAGAAGAATCGCGAGAAACTATTTGATAATCGATCGAAAATTTTCGAATAAAAAGAGGGAATCGATTTGTTCTTTCAGATATTCGCGAAAAAGAAGTTTGAACGTTTGAAAATCTTGAACAGGAGTGGAAAATATTCGAATAAAAAGAGGGAATCGAGCGTTTAAGAAAAGATGCCCTTCTGGAGGTTTAATTTCACAAACTGCTTTGGCATCCATTTTACCAAACCACGATCAATCGATGCCAAATCGTTTCTCGGATGCCTTGTCTCGAGGTAGATAAAAAAGAAAAAAATATATAAATTGCTCTTTTTCCTTACTACCCGTTCGAAGCCGTAATCGATATCGTTGATTGAACTAAGCTTTAAAGTTTCGTTCGATTCTTTTTTAAGAGAAAGCCGATGTCGGGCTGGTAGTCAATTTCAGAGGAAATCGTGAATACGTTTATTAAGTATGAAAGAAGCTTGGAAAGCGGCGGTAAAAAAGAGAATGACCTACGAACTCGGGTTCACGATTGCACAATGGGGGATGCGAGTCGCCGGCCATCACGCTAATCTTAATCCGTAAAATATTCTCTATGCTCGGTTAAAATCTCCCCTTTTGTGAGACGGGGGGGGGAACGATAGATCGTTTCTCGATCTCAAGTGTGGTAAAATACAATTTACGAGGGGGAGATCGGTAGACGAATTGTTAACGCCGCAAAGATATTTTTTTCTTTAAACTTTTTTTTTAGCGAGCTTTCCAAATTTCCGCGTTTCTTCGTCTCCTTCATAGTTTTCTTCGCTCAAACTTCGGAAAATTGGAGAGTAAAATTTCGGGAAAGAAAATTGATCGGCGAATTGAGAAAAAAGAGAAGAGAAAGGAAAAGGGAGCGGGACGCGTCGAAGATTATGAGAAATTATTTTTCAGATCGAGAAAGAGAATAATTTGTGGAATAATTTGTGGATCATCGATTAATTCTTCCATACCTTTGTCACACTCTTCTCCTGCGGAGATCGGATCGAAACCAGATACTACGGCAAGTATTCGATCGATATACGTATACATTCCCCCCCCCCTTCCTTTTCTTAATTTCTCCCCTTTTCCTTCCTTTTTTCAATTCGCTCCTCTCTTTTTCCAAACGTTCCACGACTGTTTCTTAACACATGTTCGAATAACCGAGGAGCGGAAAGTATCACGTGTCGGCCGATTCATCGGGACCCGCTCTTCATCTTCCTTCGCAACGATGCTCAAAGATTCGCGTGGTCTCCCCCCGCCAATGTCTGGAGGCCTTGACTGGGGACCCTTTGGAACCGACATACCTACGCCGAGGGGGCCTTCCCTCTTCTCTCGCACACGTTCGGTCACGCAACAACAACCTTTTCGCGCACACTCTTAACTTTCGCCTCGTATATTCCACGCGTATTTCCGTGTATATCCGTGTTGTACACTCGGTGGCAGGTTGTTATATGTTCGAATTTATACAGGTGGGGAGGGCGATTATTAATAACGTAACGGGGTCGAAACGGCGCGACAACAAGCGGCGACAAATTGGAAAACTCGCGATCCTCTCCTCCTCTTCCACCCACACAGGTGGGTTTCTTCGATTCTTCTTCGATCTTTCTTTTCGTCCATTCGTTTCTTTCGCTCTCCTCCTCCTCCCCGCTCGTTCGTTCGAGACTCGTCGAGTCACGCGATTGATAAGGAGTCGCACAGTGGATTTGAAATTCGTCAAGGTAGAAAAGGCGTGAGAAGGAGGGGGAGGACGGGGGGGGGGGGAGGAAGGTCTGGCTGGCCTCGCCGAACGTAAATTTATCACGACTTTATCTCGACCGGTGGAACGATGTTCGTTAATTTTCTCGCCAACGCCGGCCTCTTCTCTTCTCTTCTCTTCTCTTCTCTTCTCTCCCGCTCGTTTTCTTCTTTTTCCCCGACCTTCGTCCTCGCGGAGTATAAGTATCGAGTAAATCGTGCCAAGAAATCCCAACTTTTGTTTTCTTTTTTTTTTCTTTTCTTTTTCGAGACGGTTTAGAATTCGAAGTTGCGTATTTTCTTGTGACGAATCGAGCACGATGAGAATTGTGGAAAATTGGTGGGGAACGTGGTGGATTTTAAACGAGAAAAAGAGTCAATTTGTCGGTTATTTGTTGGTATTTGGTAATTAAAATTATTTTAGTTAGATTTTCATCGAGAAAAACTGGTTGGTTTTTGAATAAGTTTAAACTGTGGTGTCGAATATTTTTTTCAATGAAAACTTCATTCGATCTCGGGTAAATCTCGTTCTCGTCGAGTTTTTCCTATTAACGTTGCTCGGATACGTTGATGGATATAAATTTAATCGAGATTAGGAATTCGAAGCGAAGGAAGAGGAAACTAATCTCCCGAATGGAGAAATTTCTCTCGGCTCTTTTCAAGATTGTTCACGAGATATTTTAAAGTTTCTTCTAATACGAGATTAATTTACTTCTTCCTTCAAAACCCGTCAAAGGGGATAAAAACTGGATAAACTTTGGAAATTCTACGAATTTTATAAATCTCGTACGTTCTCCGATCGTATCGGCGAGAAAAGAAGAAAATCGCCGAATCGCGCGTTAATTAAATATACGGATCTCGTTAAATACGCGATTGAAAGCGAGCCACGAATAGGGGAGGGATCCTTGCTCTCGTGAGGCAAGGATTCGACCGTGAGAGAGAAAGAGGAGGCCGATATCTCGATACCTCTCCTTCTGTTTCTTCCTTTTCTCCCCATCCTTCTTTCAGGTCCTTCAGACTGGTGTTTCGACCTCCCTTTCTGCCTCAGCCGCCTTCTTAATCTTCCTTTAATTCCCTCGCTTTTCATTTCTTTACCTCCTTTTTCGCTTCTCCTTCTTCTTCTTCTTCTTCTTCTTCTTCTTCTTCATCGACTTGTCGCGTCCTCCTTCTCGCCCCATTCCTCTTCCATTCTTCTCCCAGTACGATCCACGGCGACGAGGAGCCAATAGATCTTCTCCCAGCTGTCTCCTCGTCGATCCGAGGATGGAAGAATCGCGAAAAACTCGCCGCTCCATCGGGCTCGATAACGTTTCGAACGCAAACGGAGGCCGTTTCGTTTATCTCGGTGAGGAAACCGAGATCGAGAGCGAAAATAGAATCACACGCGAGAAATCTAGGATCTTATTGCGACTACGAGAAAAGAAAACGAGTTCTTCCCACGCTAGATCGAAAAACGATCGATAGATAAATCGGGGGGGGGCAGAGATCGATCAAAGGGATTCGGCTATCGATCATAGGGGCGAATACCTTTGGAGATCCGTCCATTGCGATGGAAAGAAGCATAGCTTACCAAAAGATTGACGGTGCCCGTGTGATCGTCGACCCACGCCAGCAGGATGTCGGCCCCCTTCATGTGGTTCCTCTCGTTGAACCCGATCCCGACGTATCCCAAGGTTTTCGCGGTCACCTTGAAAGTGACCATCTCCTCGTCCGAGGGATCCCACTCGAGGACCACTTCCCCGTCGTCGTCCAAGCTCTCCCGCCTCGTGAACCTCGCCGCCTCTCTCGCGCTTCTTCTCCCACGATTATTCCCCCCAAACTCCCCCCAACCCGCCAAGCGTTTCGCGTAACCGCGAAAAAGCTTGGCCGATTTATCCATCGGCGGCGCGTACTTCTTTGGGACGCGATCTCGCGACTTTGGGATCCTCTTCAGGATAGGATCGTCGTCGAGGGGGACGTTTCGACCGGCCGCCTCGTCGATTACTTCAGAATCACTCCTCGAGATGTCGCGTGGAAAATCTATCGTCTCCTCCCGCGACTCGTTCTCGATCGGCTGCTCGTCGGCGGTATCGTTGAATCGCCGCGGTATCGTCGATTCCTCCCTCGAAACTTCGATATCGTCGTCCATGGTTTCGTGGTTGCTCGCGTTTTGCCTGCTCTTCGTCGTGGTCGTCTCCTCGGATTCTCGGATTCGCGACCGGTTACGATCGTGTTTGAGCAACTCGTGTTGACTCGGGTCCAAGTTTTCCTCCCTCGAGTTGGGAAAGTCGAGGCCGTCCTGTTTGTAAGGGAACAGCTTCCTCTTCGCCTTCCATTGCGCGTACCACTCTTTATCCACGTCCAAACGTTGCTTCTTGAACGTGCCGATTCTGAGAATCGGCTCCTCCCTGAGAACGGCTCCTCTCTTCGTCCTCGCATCTTTGATCGTTCCCTCGTGATGCCTGCTCCTGTACGCCAATGTTTTCATCGTCTCGTCCATGTGCTGGACGTACAGGTCCAATAAATCGCACCTGGCCACCCAACAAACGCTCGATACCACGATCAACAGCCTGAGCATCTTTCTCTTCCTTCTCTTCTTCTTCTTCTTCTTCTTCTTCTTCGTCGTTGCTCGCTCACCTCTCCGTCAACTTCATACGAGAATCCTCTTCTCTCGAGATCAATTTCTCCACGATCCCTCCATAAGGATCGTCCCTTATTCGTTGGAAAAGATGATAATTCACTTAGAAAGAACCTCCTCCCCTCTCATTATCCGTTATCATAATGAGAATGAAAAATTCCTTCTCTCACAGTCGATCGAGATTCCCACACCTTTTCTTCGCACACTTCTCTTTAACGAAACTGATGAACGATGAATAATAATAATTAATTGATTGATTGATTAATTAAAGTATCTCTCGCTCTCCCCCCAACAAAAAGAAGAAAAAAAAAAAAAATAGAACGCGAAACTCGTCGACTCGCGTTCGCTTTCTTCTTTACGTGTTACGCGAACGACAGTTGTGCCGGGACTAATTTAAGCACGCGGCTGCTGTTGCCCCTGCAGATGCTTGCAGCTGCTTACCTGTGCCGGCCTCCCCCCCCCTTCCCCGGCCCTTATTCAGACCCGTACCACCACTTTTCCGCTCCCCTCTCCCCTTCCCCCTCCCCCCTTATAATTCACTATCTCTCGAAACGAATAATTTAAACTCCACAAACCTTTCGATCAAACCTTTGTCACTTTTTATCCTTCCTTTCTTTTTCTTTCTTTCTTTCTTTCTTCTTCTTCTTCTTTTTTCTTTTCGAAATATTTGTGAACGAAAAAATAAATAAATTTAAATAAATTTTAATCCTCGAGGGGAGATGTGTGGACAGATTCAGGGACTGAATCGAAGCGAAACGAGAGAGAGAGAGAGAGAAAGGAAGAGGAAATCGTCACAACGTCTTCCTCTTTCGTTATTCCGCCTCGTAGTATTATTATTATTATTATTATTATTATTATTATTATTATTATTATTATTCCTACGAACGATACCACGCAGCGTAGACAATGGGTAATCATCCTATTCGAAATCTTTTTTTTTTTTTTTCGAATTGTCGAATGGGATTACAGGAATCGATGGAATTACGCGTGGAAAATATATTTGTTTCTACGTTTATTGTTCTTTTGTTTTGTTCGTCGAAGTTTATATGGAAATTCTTTTTTCCACGACACGAGGCCTCTTCGTTCGAGGAGCGATTTCTTTACGGAGGGAGGAAACGGAAAGATGGAAAGGTTTTGGTACTGCTTCCTGCGGAAGCCTTTTTTCTGAAACCGGAGACGCATTTATCAGTGGTGGTGTTCCAGAAAGGAACCGAGGGGATGCGAAAACAACTGCGGCAGATGTGAACTCTTGGCACGCGCCCTTCTGCTCGGCCAGTGGTGCTCACCGTAATTTTTTTTTGCTCCCGAGGGGAGGAAATTTTTATATCGATTGAAAGGAAACAACTTGGAACGACTCGAAACATTTCAACACTCGGAGTCGAAACGTTTCGTATTTCGAATACTTTATATATATATAAAGATATCTGGTCTTCGAAATTTCATCGTTCACCGTATTTAATTAGACAATATAGTTTGACAACTATATCGTCGATGAAAACTACTCTTTATTTATCGACGAGCGTGTAAAAAGCATTATCATTTGCCAAGCGTCGGCACGCGCGTCGGAAGTCAACTGTATCAAGTTACTTCCTGCGACTGACACTTTATACCCTACAAAGGAAGAGTGTAGAACGATCTTGTTCGTTCATCATCACGCCTCGATTCGATACGAATTGCCTCGATACGAGCGATAGGTAATCGGACTATTGATATTCTAAGAAGGAAAAAAAAGAAAAAAAGAAAGAAAAACTATTATCCCTCGCATCTGCCCGTTTCAATTATTGACTTTTAGATTAAACGGGACGGGAAACTAACGTTTTTCGTTGTACACGAATAATTTTAGCTAATTGCTCCCGAAAAAAGGTATAAATCGAATCGTCACTCGATCAAATTAATCGAATGCTCGAAAACCAGTTTGGCCAGATGGATTCGGACAGATTTCGTTAGTTCTCCTCCTCCTCCTCTTCTTCTTCTTACTCTTCTTCGTACTTTCTCTTCGTACGTACGAAGAGAACGGTTTACCGCTTCGATTCGAGCAGGAAATCGAAGAAGGAATCGATTTTCTCGGAATTTCTGTCGGTCAGGTATCGGTTATTGTTAAAAGAGAGGGAATTCCTTTATACGAAAAGATGCGCGTGTACACGCAACCGACGAACGCCGATCGACCAACGCCGACTGCATTATTTCTTTGTTCGTAAGGAATTCGAGGATCGAGCGGGATTTCTGCCAAAAAGGAAAAGTTTTCGTTTTCGTTTATAAATCGCGAATTCTTCGGTGGAATAAAACATAACGAAGAAACGTTTATTCAAATATTCCTCCTCCCCCCCCCCTCAGCTTCGAAAATCGAAGATATAGAAATTTATTATGGAAAATCGTGTCGTCTCGACGCCCCGTCCTCCTCCTCTTCGAGAGAAGAAGCTGTTCAACCGGCGCACGACAGAGTCGAAGCGGTGGGACGCTACTTTGTATTCCATTGGCAAATTTATTCTTCGTCGTCCTTCCACGTAGATTATATAGAAGAGAGGAGAGGCGTATCGGAAATCTCGTTGTCCTGGGAAAAACCGATGCCTCGAGATATGCACCGAGCATAAAAAGCAAACGAGGCGAGTCATTTTTATCGCGTGCACGCGCAACATCTCTCCGCGCTCGCGGTGATTTCACGCGGGGCGAATCCATCCCGGATTCTCTCCTCGTTTGTCTTTCTCCGTTTAACATTCAATGGAAACCGTACATACAAGTATTTTACAGTTATCATTACCGATAGATAACGATTGTTCCATTCAATTGTTGTCACCTCGTTGCTCTTTCTTCCTCTCTTTCTTTCTTTCTTTCTTTCTTTTTCGTATTTCTCTCTAGATCTTTCGTTTTCAACTGTGGCGTCATCCCTTAAAATATACTGAGAAAAAACACGCGACGTTCACCTGTCGCGTGCTCGACGTTACACCTGCTTAAGTAACTTTCCTTCGAGAGTCTTCACCATCTGCTTCTTTTACGAGTTTTCTGACCGATTAGCATACGTACGATTTAACGTACGTACGAGTTAAATAATTTTTAATTTGGATTAATTTCTCCTTCTTTTCTCGTTCTCTATATATTCTTTCGAAATAAAAGAATTTGATCTTTGGAAGATTTCTTTATATAAGAAAGAAAAAAAAAATATTGTATTTACACGTAAGATATACTTACGAAACGTATAAAAGTTGGAATAGAATTTTCGAGTGGAGTTCGTTGAGATTTTTAATCGATGGGTAAAGAAGATAATTAATCCAATATCGGAACAATGTGTGTCTCTCGATCGTGTAAATTTTACGGAATAAGCATAGACAAAGAGAGTAAATAGAGAGAGAGAGAGAGAGAGAAGGACGGAAAGAAAGTAAAAATTAGGGAATCAACGCCATCTTCAGAATGCCGAAAATGAAGAATATAAAAAAAGATCAGAAAATAGTGGGACAAGGATAAAGATAGGACAAGAATTAACCGTTAGCGCCATTTCTCGAGTCACAAAGATTTCTTTAAAAAATAAGATAAAGAGAAATTGAATCAAATGAAGTGTAGTCCGTAAGTTATTTCCGTAAGTAAGTCCGATCTTTTTATTAATTTAAGCTCTTAAAAGTTAAGAAATTTTACGTAAAAGTCACGAAATTTATAATTTTCTATTTTGTTCTGCGAAGATTAGTTCCGTTTTCTTGTCGCTAGATGGCGCTATAACATTCATTTTTCTGAATTACTTCGGAACATGCTTCTAAAATCCATGTTAATCGGGGAAAAAAATTTAGATATTTTAAATTATTACTAAGGATCCAAGTTTTAATTTTCGTGCCGAAAATATATTTCTAAAAGTTTGTTTAAACAAGAAGTGCAGAGAAAGAAGTTATATGTGGTAATTTGAATATAATTCGTAATAAATGATTTTTATTAATTTGATTTTGTATTGCAAGTTTTTTTTTTTCTTTTTTAATAATAAATTAGAATAATAATATAGTCGATGAGATACTATAATTCCAAAATATATATAATTAATACGAAAGATAAATTTATTATTATTTTAGACATGTAATTTCAATGGTTAATTATCGAAACTGTATTATCATATTATAAAACTATATTTCGCTTCGAGTTTCCGATCAAGTGGCAGCACTATCGAAAAGAGTAAGAGAAATTTGGATTTGCGTTTGTAAACGACAGTAAATGTCGTATATTTTGTGATAAAATTAGGAGAAAGTAGTGACAAATGTTCTTATAAGAGAAATAATTAAGTTCACAACGGTATTTTCTTCTGGTGTTAAGTACCATCGTCAATCATGGTTCGAAGTAGTGACAAGTAAGTGTAATTACTTTTATTGTGCTATTTTTTTAGGTTAATTTTACTATCTGTGCTACTAGAAACCATTAATCATTCTATCGATATCAATTATTCGATGCCCATTGATCTGATATTAAAAATTTGAATCTATTGCTTCGTAGGGATAGGCATCATAGAAGACGATCGAGATCACGTTCAAGATCTCGTTCTGCTACTCCGGAAAAAAAACGACGACGATCCAGGAGTAGAGATAGGGATAGGGAACGTGATAAGGGACGACACAGGGAAAGAAGGAGTCGTTCTAGAGATCGAGATAGGGATAGAAGAGATCGTTCCGAAAGGGATAGAGATCGCGATAGAAAACGGTAATTATGAATATAATCGCATAATTTTTTGATTTTATAAAATTGAAATATATGGAAGATATGGTTAAATACTTTTTATGGTTATAATTTTGAAGAAATTATGAAGAATTTCAGCTTATCATATTTGATTTTTAGTTTTTCTTAAAATTTATGTGATAATGGAATAATGATGTTAACATTGATTGTTCTCGGTATACTAGTGGAGACAGTAAAGAAAAGCGTCTTACAGGCTCAAAGTCTTCGCGTTCAGGCAAAGATCGGTCGAATAGATCAAGATCAAGAGAGCGAAAGGAGAAAGAGAAGGGTGATAGCGATGAGTTGCCGTTTGATCACACTAAGTTGGACAAAGTAATTATATTCGATTGGAATGATATTGTTTAATTTTACCCTTTTATTTATACGTTATAATATTGCACGTTATAATATTACACGTTCACATCAGGAAGAAGAGCAGAAAAGATTAGAACTGGAGATGCAAAAGAGGAGAGAAAGAATAGAGAGGTGGCGCGCGGAAAGGAAAAAGAAAGAATTGGAGGCAACTAAGAAAGACGGTAAGGCATCCATTTTAGCAAATCTACAGTTGCCTATGAAAAAGTGGTCCCTCGAGGATGACAGTGATGAAGAGACACCTGTTGTTCAAAATAGTAACAAGGAAGTCAAAGAAGATGGAGAAACAAAAGAAGAAGTGGAAGAAGTTAAGGAAGAAGCTAAAGATGATGAGGAAGAAGTTGATCCTCTTGATGCCTTTATGGCAGAGGTATGCATATATCCTATACTTTATGTACATATATATTATTATATATATATATATATATATATATATATACACATATATTGTTAATATGCAAAGAATTAATATAATTTTTGTATAGGTTCAGGAAGAAGTTCGAAAAGTGAATAAACTCGATAATAAAGGCGGGAAAAATGCTAATAACGGTACAGGTACAGGAGGTACACAAAGTGGCGGAGTTGTGATCGTTACTGGAGTTGCTAAAAAGAAAGTGCAAAAACAGAAAGGAGAATTAATCGAGCAGAATCAAGATGGTCTTGAATATTCTAGCGAAGAAGAAGGAGAAAATCTTCATGAAACTGCAGCTGGAATTGCGAATAAACAAAAGCGCGAACTAGCCAAAGTTGATCACGCAACAACAGAATATCAGCCATTCAGAAAATCGTTTTACGTTGAAGTACCTGAAATCGGTAAAATCGATTAATATTTTTATCGTAATTTGTAGTTGTTGCGTGTATATTTGTTTTGATAATGATTGTTTTAATATTTTGTATATTTAGCACGAATGACACCGGAAGAAGTAGAAGCATACAAAGAAGAATTAGAAGGTATTCGAGTGAAAGGCAAAGGTTGTCCAAAACCTATTAAGTCATGGGCACAATGCGGTGTTACGAAAAAGGAGTTAGAGGTGCTGAAGAAACTTGGTTATGAAAAACCAACTCCTATTCAATGCCAAGCTATTCCAGCGATTATGTCTGGTCGTGATTTGATAGGAATAGCAAAGACAGGTAGTGGAAAAACTTTAGCATTTTTGTTGCCAATGTTCAGGCATATTCTCGATCAACCACCATTAGCGGATGGTGATGGCCCGATCGCGCTAATCATGACACCGACCAGAGAATTATGCATGCAAATCGGACGAGATTCGAAAAAATTCACAAAATCTTTGGGGCTGTCTCACGTTTGCGTTTACGGGGGAACTGGTATATCGGAACAGATAGCGGAATTGAAGAGAGGTGCTGAAATAATTGTTTGTACGCCAGGGAGAATGATAGACATGTTGGCCGCTAACAGTGGAAGAGTAACAAATTTACGTAGAGTAACATACGTAGTTCTTGACGAAGCGGATAGAATGTTTGATATGGGTTTCGAGCCTCAAGTAATGCGAATCATGGAAAATGTTCGACCCGATCGACAAACTGTACTCTTCAGCGCAACATTCCCTCGTCAAATGGAAGCATTAGCGAGAAGAATTCTGACCAGACCCGTAGAAGTTCAAGTGGGTGGAAGATCTATCGTTTGTAAAGATGTTGAACAACACGTGGTAGTTCTTGAAGAAGATCAAAAGTTTTACAAATTGCTTGAAATTCTTGGCCATTATCAAGACAAAGGTTCCGCGATAATATTTGTCGATAAACAAGAAAATGCAGACACTTTATTGAAGGATCTTATGAAAGCGTCTTACTCCTGTATGTCGCTTCACGGTGGTATTGATCAGTGCGATAGGGATTCAACGATATTAGATTTCAAAGCTGGTAGAACGAAGCTATTAGTTGCCACGTCAGTCGCTGCTAGAGGTTTAGATGTAAAACATCTCATACTTGTGGTAAATTACGATTGTCCGAATCATTATGAAGATTATGTACACAGATGTGGAAGAACAGGAAGAGCTGGAAATAAAGGGTAAATTTCTATTCTATCTATTTAAAGAGAATATATCGTTGTTAACGAAATACAATAG